TGATTTCATAAATTTATGAACCAAGCCCAAGACTTCGCTGATTTCATAAATTTATGAGCCAATCCCAAGACTTCGCTGATTTCATAATTTAAGGCCAAGACTTCGCTGATTTCATAAATTTATGAACCAAGCCCAAGACTTCGCTGATTTCATAAATTTATGAGCCAATCCCAAGACTTCGCTGATTTCATAATTTAAGGCCAAGACTTCGCTGATTTCATAAATTTATGAACCAAGCCCAAGACTTCGCTGATTTCATAAATTTATGAGCCAAGCCCAAGACTTCGCTGATTTCATAAATTTATGAACCAAGCACAAGTCTTCGCTGATTTCATAAAGCTGATTTCTTAAATCCAAGAGTGCATTGAAAATATGAGCAATGCTGCCTGATTTTATGTGATTCATTTTAAGTAAAGTTTTGTTTTCGAATCGAAATCGCGCAAAGTGCSTACGGTTGTTTGCAGACAAAACTTGATCTCATTTTAATACTGTTATGATATAAACTCAAGAATATTTTTGGCCACAAATGTCACAACACATTTCGCGGGCCTTCACCAAAGTTGAGTAACTATGTATTCTACGAAATCAAGCAACGATATCTTTAATCAAATGAAGTATGTCTTACCTGAAACGGCATGGATTTCGTAAACCTTGAGCAACTTAAGTTACAACACCGGTACAGTGATACGGCTATAGAGAAATATTGATAATAATAAGCTTACTTGCTAGGAATAGTAAACCTATAGTCCAGTATAGAGTCTATTTATTTCTCGATTCTTTCTATCAATAAAAATCAATAATATCAGCGGACTGTGTTGATATCAACGTTGAACTTTTAAATATGTCAATGTGTGTTTCCCTGATACTAAGCTACAGATAAACAATGGAGATACAGTACGATATGTAATTCACTTTTACCTTATAAGCATTTTAAACACGAATATCCTTCCATTTCGCTGGAGAGATCTTGCTTTTATGTTTCCAACCCCGCGATTCTACGATCGACTTGGCGCCAAAATCGTAGCGTGGAAGATTTTCTGTCCATTTGGAGCAACGGCGGGTGTGAAACTTCAAGACTTTGTAGAAAATATGCTTCTTAACTTTGCTGCATTATGTTTCGTATAATCTAAGGCAAATCTTCGCCGTGTTTGGACGGAATGTAAGGTTTACAGCTACACTTGGGTTTATTGATCGTTAGTTGATCCATTATTATTAACTGGCATCCTGGATTTGTTGACCTGAGCCATGACCCTCATCTGTTATTTGTCACGCCTGTCAAATCGTTTGACTTTGGTAGCTTGGATTACAGTGGGTCGTGACGTATTATCCCTTATTCGTGACGTTTAACCCCTTCGTTCCTGACGTATGACCCTTTCTTCGTGTTGGGGTAAAACGTATTCCCCATTAGATCGAGGTGTCAGATACTGGTTGAGATAGTCTATCATTCAATCCAGCCGAATATATAAACATTAACAAATGTCATGAAATGATTTGATTTGTATTAAAAGAAACGTAGATTTCTAGAAAATGATTTTATTGATAATTCATCGTTATTAGATTCTAAATGCTTTATTCCGCGAGTAAAGGCTTGTTGTGAATTAGGTTTATGTCGAGTTTTGATCGTTATACGTCCACCGAAATTTCACTGTATTTCGCAGTATACCGTAAACATCGACCTAAACACTTTCATAGTTAGAGTTACTAAATAGGATATAATAAAGTATCCCTTGTTACTTGAAAAACAAGGAATACTTTCCAACAATAAGAAAAATATGTCCGGCAGCCGGTCACGGTCTCTAAAAAACTCACTGCCCGGCAGTCCAAAATTTCTCCAAATTACAGCCAGCCAAATAAATATTTGTGTTGAAAACAGATTAGGCAAAGTTTGTTTAGAAATACTAAGCGATTCTTTTAAGCAGGCCTACTTTGAGTAAAGCTCGCTGGTCTTTGCTCGGCATAGTATACAAAACACCTTTATCGTGGCACTTAGAAATTTTCCGTCGAAGCTTGACTTAACAATGGTCACGCTCTTTTTCTTCAAGTCGGAAGAACGGCTTTTTACAAAAACATTTTAACTCCGCAGAGCGCTATTTATTTCCTAATCTACTTTGCCGTACAGTTTGACGGTCTTTCCTTGACACAATTCTTGACTGCCGGTTACGGTTTCTAAAAGACTCGGTGCCCTGCAGTCCAAAAAGATAAACAACGATGCTGTAGTATTGAGGTATTCACTGAAGAACGTAGTTTTAGTAGATTCTTTTTTTAGTACTTGAAGAAGTAGAAAGAGAGCGTGACTTTGCCTAATCTGGTTTCAACACAAACAGTTATTGGGCTGTAATTTGGAGAAGTTTTGGACTGCCGGGCACCGAGTTTTTTAGAGACCATGACCGGCTGCCGGGCATCTAGACACTGTGAGTAGTGATAGTCACATTCATCACAATCGCTTCAAAATTGTTTTCTCCATTTTGTTACTATTTTTCAAAAACCAATATTGTTCAAACAATGATTGCACAAATTGCAATTTTATAAGCTTTTTAAACGTATTAACATATCTATTTAAGTTACAAATTAGTGATTCACTTCAAACCTGCCGATATCAAGGTTTAAAAAGTTCTAGTTACGACACTTACGACATTCACTTACAAGAAATCATTTGTCATTTTCAAAACATATATTGGTACTATGCTTTAAAATAATAATAAGAGTTTATATTCATAGACTTTAGAAGCCAAAAAGGAAGCAATGTAAGCGCAATATAAGTTTCAATTTGAAATAGTCACTAACACATGACTTACTAATTCACTATAAAGAGATCTAGCTCATACCATAATGCTGTTTCAGATGACGCACGCTATGAGATCTTAGCTTTCCACTACCAGTTAATGTGAAATCAAACAAAATTATGTGCTCCTTAGAGACTTCATCAATCCACTCTACCCATTGCCGTCCTTGTTTCCTCTTTGCTGGGGTCCATTTTCCAGTCCACGAACCACTGTACCATACAATTACGACATTCTCCTCTGATATCTCTTTTACTTCTGCAATCAGAGGCCGTTCCTTGTGTTCTTCCATATCCAAAGCCACTAGCATCCCTACCTTTACACCTTGTACACATTCGTTTTCTATGACCCTCGTCTGGCTTTGTTTTTGTGGTCTATAACGCCCAGTATAAGCCTAAAACGAGCAGATTTTATTTTGTTATTAACAGGTAACTGCAACCGGTCTTGTAAATTAATTTTACGATCAGTGTCTATAATAAATAGTTTGTTCAGTCAAATATATAGTAATCAATTAACTTACAGGTAGAATTCCCAGTCCTTTCTCATATGCTTCACTTTCGGCGAGGACTTGGTCGAGTTGCGGCTCTTCATCTTCATTTGGTTTTTGCCGCGTAACAAGTTCATCAATTGGCCACTGATCGTCGAAGCATTTCATGTATGCCAACACATCTTTATGGTACTTGTCATCTGTTAACCAGACAAAATTCGACGTTTAACAAACGAACTGAACAAGTGCAAAATTAGAAGTTTGCAGTCATATTTGCAAACAAGCATTTTCATTTCAAACTACTGAGAAGCAAAAATTAAACTATGATCTCGCAACACTGAGCAGTCAAAAGTGTTGAAAATTCTATTACAGCTGAAAATCAAGCTACATATTCATGTGAACTTATAACCAGTATTTTAACGTCAAAAAGGAGTAAGTTTAATACATAAGCCAACTTATCAATACTAATTCAAACTGACTTTGTTAAACGATCTTACTGAGTACACTTCTAATCCAACTATAAATTACGCCCTTTCTTTATCCCTTTTCCTCGGCTTCTTTTAAGGTTTTAACTTTATCAGCGAATTGTCATGAACGTATGTGCGGTTGTGATATAGTGTTGAGAAGTTTCACTTATAATACAATAAATACTTAGTAACAATTCGGATCTTTCCCACTGTTGTCTTCCACGTTTTAGCCGTACCCTCTCTTCTTTCACACTAGGTCAAATTGTATTTGAAGCCCCACCTACAAGCCCGTTTACACTTGCGATTTTTGCAGTGCAATTGTCGCGCAACAATCGCGCACCTCAAATCGCAAGTGTAAACAGCCCTGCGAGTGTCGCGGCGATCGAAATCAGTTGCAGTTCAATTTCAAGCATGTTCGAAATTCAAGCGATTGTCGTGCGACAATCGCGCTGCAAAAGGCGCAAGTGTAAACGGGCCTTGAAAGACATTAACACCGCCAAGATCTTTCTTATTTCATAACTTACGGTATTCAATTTCTTCAACGTCGTCGTAGGACTGTTCGTATGCCCTCTCTTTTTCAAGGAAATCTTCCCATAGCTCCTTTTCATCACTTCGTAGAATTCCCTTCGAAGTACAGCTGCTTACCATACTTTGAAGTCTTCCGAACCCAACTTCGTCAAAAGAGGGCTTGACTAAGTCGGGAACTCCCTCGGGAAGTCCTTTCTGAAAGACGTGAAGAGGTGGCCACTGTGTATCGTCCCAATGTGGCGTTGAGGCGCACCATGGTTTCTGTTTGATAATACAATGCCCGTGTTCATTTCGGACAAATGCACAATGATGCTTGTCTCGCAGATAGTGCATTTCTTCAGCATAAGGCTGAAGCCATTCCCTAATAGCGTACATATGTGCTATTTTAGCATACTGAGGGCGCGCCCCTTGTTGATTCACAACACCCTGTTGCTGGCTATAGCACTCTCGTATAAGCTTTGTGAGGTCCTGGAAAGTCTTCGCTCCTCTTCTCGCAATGGCCACCGACAGGCGAGAGAACATTTGATCCACGTCTATGTGAGTATGGCCTACTGGTAAGAAACAGACCTCTATCTAAAGAAAAAATGATACATGTAAGATAGGAAGAAGTCAGTGCATAACTAACCAATAAATCTTACCTTGTCAAATACTTTGATTTCCACTAGATATGCTATAAATGCAAAAACATGCATGTTCTTGTTTTCCTTGCATGTATTATCTAATTGAATATAAAGTGTGGATGGTAGCCGATTCTTGTGAATCCACAAAACCTAAATAAAACAGTGCAAAATTAAAGAAATCAGTAACAAAGAAAGGAAAATTCGTATGGGGGGGGGGGGGGGGGGGGGTTAATACCTACTAATAATTACCAGATTGGGGGAAATAACGTCGGAATATAATAATAAATAATAAACATCGAAGTAAACCTTTTTTAAATTATAGCTTTCTTTTGTTAGTATTTGATATAACTAAATAAAATTACCTGCAAGAGAATGTTGCAGGTCATGTTGGAGTCATGTGGGTGTTGCTGGTAGTCCAAAAATACTATGGGATGTCGCCCATGTACCACAGCACCCACAATGTGCACTTTAAGTCTCCATGCTTTATCCAAAGAACTGTGCCTCCAAATTGTGAATGGAAGCTCTGTTTTGTTTTGATCCATCCCGTCAATTGCCACTGAAAAGAATCTGTTTGGGTGGAGGTGGGCTGCCGAGGAGCGATTAAGATATGAAGATCTTTCATTTCTAATAAACAAAGGAAAAAGTATGAAAGTAGTTTTAAATACCATGTGCTACTTCTTACTATTCAGCTGCAATGCAGAAAAACGGTTGACCTGTTTTTTTCATATTTCCCTTTCCTCCATTTTCAAAATTTCGTTTTAGTCATTACAACTTTTTCATAAAGTTATCGCTCTCGTCTATGTACCGTACGGTCACGGCAAGAAAGGTCGCGTTATCCACGAATAATGCACAAAGTAAAATTGAAGAATTATTTAAAATAATCCTACGTTTTCCACATGTCATCTTCAAGAGGGTATTATTCGAATTTTCCCCTACGTTTTACCTTCGTATTCCTTCTGGGCAAAATTCTTATTTTACACACATTTTCCAGACGCCAAAATCACGGGATAATCTTAATTATCCTACCAATTTTACCTCTGTTTCCCTGACAGTCTTAACGCGCATTTTACCCAAGTTTACCGACAGTAAAATGACTAGATAACAAGTATTATCGTGTGTGTTTTACTTTCGTTATCTTGTAGAAGAAAAACACGGGTAATTCTGGCATAATCATTGCAGTTTACCAATAGTATAATTGAAAATAATATCGCATAATGCTAGATGGTAAAATGTAAAACGTAATCCTTAATCATTATGCTCTCTTTTTACGCCGTTTTACCTTCGTTTTACCTTTCACTGAGCCAAAAGCCAAATATTCTTTAGTGAATACCCCTTCGAATTTTTAAGTTTTCAATTGTATTCAAGTAGTGTGATGTACGGTACGCCGATAGCATTTTTCTAAAAACATTTTTGTTCATGAAATTAACAAAATATTTCGCATTGAAATATGCRAGCGTTTACGATATACAAGTATTCAATACTCCTTCGAAACTTTGAGTATTCGAAGGTTTTCAGGTAGCGTGATATATTTGACGTCTGATGGTATTATGCCATACATCTAATTTTCATATGAATCGAACTTTAGTATTCAAGTCTGAAGTTGAAATATTCGAATGGATCGTTTGATAATTAGCTGCTACAGTGATTTCACTTTTTCTGATGTTCTTTTAAGACTTCACGCATCTATATTCATTCGCTATATGTTATTTATACAACTTATAATGACGATTTGAAAAATATATAGGAAGCTGATATTATAAAGCCGACGTGTACACAAAAGCATCCTTTGAAATCAAGTGCTGTGTAGTGCTGTGTAATATGCCAAAATGCATGGCGTGACGTCCCCCTAATGCGAAGTTTATGTTTACAAACTGCCTTGAAAATGATAAACTAACGGCAATACGAATCAATTCTATAACTATTTTCAATTTCATATCTATGTGTAGCTAAATTCGTTAAGGTGAATTTGTTTTTAAAGTCGAATTTATGTTTGAATGACGCAAACTATTTTCAAAGGTGCGAACATTTTGGATTAAAACCTAGCAAAACATGCTAGCTTATATTCGCTCTAATTCTAATCCTAAATTCTATGGCGTTTTATGTTGCTTTTAAAACTGTAAATAAATGACATTGGTGATCTAAATTTGGTTCAAGTTTGTGTGGAAAAATGTTGAAAATTAAGCTGAATATTACGTACGGTCTTTCGCGATGTTACGTTTCACCGTAGTAAATTAATTGACTATCAATCGTCGATTGCGCATGCGTGCGTGCTCACGATATGCGAGGCTCAATTGGTTCCCACATTGAAGATGATACGTTGATGCTGTGCTATAAAAGGTACGTATTTTAGATGCAAGTAGCAGCTTGGCCAAAGCTAGGGGTTATCATGTGCGCGACGGCGTGTGAATGGTCTTGGGGCCGGTAATTCCCTCCCATGCAACCAAGCAAGCCACCGTGAGTTCCTTGATAAACAAAGACCTTTTAT